TGGAGGCAGGTTGTTCCATTGGTTAATTGTTCTAACTGTCAGGAAGTTTCTCCTTAGTTCTAAGTTGCTTCTCTCCTTGATCAGTTTCCACCCATTGCTTCTCTCCTGCCTGAGTACGGCTGGTCAGCCAGCTACGAATCCATCTGGTGGTGATGCTGTCTAACCCATATTTTTCTATCTTATCGAGTAGTAGGTTGTGATCTACTTTATCAAATGCCTTACTGAAGTCCAAGTAAATTATATCCACAGCATTCCTCTGATCCACTAATTTTGTCACTTGGTCAAAAAATGTAATAAGGTTTGTCTGGCATGATCTGTTTTTGACAAACCCATGTTGGCTTTTAGTAATGACTTTGTTTGCCTCTAGGTGTTCGCTGATTCGTTGTTTTATTATCTTTTCCAGAATCTTCTCAGGTATATAATCTTGACATTCATAAGAAGGCCCAGCTAATACACATAACATTTAAAAACGAGATTGTTAATGCTGATAACTTTGGAAACTGGCTGAAATCCTACCAGATTTTCCTTTGTATCTCTTTTGGGCAGAAAAAATGTTTTTCATTTTGACACCCTTTCCTTTCTTCCCCTATTGATTATTTACCTCCATATGCACTTCCTTTTTGCTATGGCTGCCTGGACATAGCAATTTGTCATTGCAATATACCTCATGTTCTACTTTGAACAACTGGAAATGGGGGGAAATTGTCAAGCTTAATCGCCAAATCATCTTCCTCCTTTACAATATGTACCAAAACTATGACATACACATGACATGACATGCACCCTCCTAGACTTCCAAATGTTTGTAATATAAATGGGTAGTCTGTGATTCAAAACTTTATGTCTCCCTCAGTTGCATCATCCTCAAGGATACTGATAAGGGGTACGTTTTTATTCGTGGCGTCCTTGCTCTCTTTTTGAGGCTGTTTGTTTGCTTACAGCTGTTCCATTACCCAACTAGGTAACATCATCAGTGGCATTGATATTACCTAATTGGATAATGAAATGTCTACAAGCAACAACTAAACTCAGGGAGCACAAAGGACTCCACAGTTCAACCCTGAGCTACATATATTCTCTTCTATATTTACATTTCTTCCATTTAATTAGTACATTGACATTTGCACTTTTCAAAGACTAAGTATTCTGTATTACAAAATGTTCTCCTTCCAGACACAGATTCTCATGTACCTCTATCAGTACACCTTAGGAATTATAAAGCAAACAACATCTACAATTAATGTATTAGTATGTCCATCTTTAACCTCTGTATGAGAATTCTGTTAACCAGCTTCTGGTATTCTCTACTTTTGATAGCAGAAAACTAATGACTTGCTATAATCTGGTAGTTTTAATAAAACGACTGTGCTCTTCTAATTGTTGGATAAATTCTTAAGTGAGTTTTTCCACCACACTATGTGTGCATATGCATGTCCTTTCTTACAAGGAGCACGCGATTACCAATAACTGATACAAAGGTTTAATTGTCTTTGGATGTGCCAGAGATGCAAAAGAATGCAAGGCGTACCAATGGTTGCTATGATGTTCTTCATCCATATATTACCATTAACATCACAGACAGCATAATAAGTAATAATTTATATGCCGCCTGACTCTCAGTGACTCTGAGCAATGTACACATTGTTAAAAACAGGAAAACAACACAAAACAAAAAAGAGCAAAGATGGCAGAGATAACAAACCCAAATAGGAACAAAGAAAAGAGGGGCTTCAATCACACTGGTCTGGGCAAAAGCCAGATCTTCCAATGTCCTTTGAAACACCTGTAGGGTGAGAATCTCAGGGGGATCCACAGCATGGATAGTACATTTGGTGAAGATGGGAGTACTCAGAAGGCGCCAGGTTGATGAAGCATACAACAGACTCATATTTCCATGTAGGTATCAGAACAACAAAATATTCTGTGTGGTCATTACTATATACACACTGCCTACTATCAAACAAGTTTTTAGTGCAGATGGTAAGTCGATTAATTCCAATACCTTGTACAATTTGATTAACTCGATTAATTCCAATGACTTGTACAATTTGATTCCTGCTTTAGCGTCATTCTTAAGTGTTACAAAAACAAGAAGCAGTGGAGAATTTTGTATGAAGAACCGCTGAACAAAACAGAAACTGGCAGGAAATCATCTATCTTACCAGAAATCTCAGGTTGTTATAGCAACGAAGCAGGAGTAGAAGGTACAATGCCTTGGAGCAGAAAAGCAAAACCCAGATATATACCTAGCTCATTATTTTTTTTAAAAAAAGGGGGGGATTCCAGGTTATGAAACTCCTCAAGTAGAAAGGGACACTAATTTTCCTAATACTCTTCACAGACCTATGCAGTTCTATTGATGCTATGATGCCACTGGATGTGCTGAAAATTTCTTCTTGCCTCAACAAGCCTGGGCAATTGGGAAACTGGGAATATATTGATATCTTTATGCTCAACAGCCAAATAAATTTGGCTATATGATATCATTAGTGACAACAAATGAAGTCAATGCTTTGCTGTCTGCTTCAGTGTTGTGGTGAAAATGAGGAATCTGTCTAGTTCCAAAGCTACTACAGGTAGTCTTCAACTTATAACCATTCATTTAGTGACCACTCAAAGTTACAATGGCACTGAAAAAAGTGAGTTATGACCAGTTTTCACACTTATGAAATCCCCAAGGTCATGTGATCAAAGTTCACATGGTTGGCAACTGGAATGTATTTATAATGATTGCACTGTCCCAAGGTCATATGATCACCTTTTGTGACTTTCTGACAAGCAAAGTCAAGGTCATAAAATGGATCAAAACTCACTTTAACAACTATCCTGCTTAGCAATAGAAATTTGTGATCATAAGTTGAGGACTACCTGTATGTGATGTGTCAGTCCCTGCCTAGGCAGCAGAAACTTATTCCCTTCCCACAAACATACACATATTCCTCTGATTTTCACCTATAATCCTTTTTCTTATTTCCATCAGTAATATATGGAAAACAAAAATAGATTGATCAATACTCTGTAATAGCATATCGTTGTATCCTTGTGTACATTAACCTCATTAATTCCATAGTCACAAACTTCTGACAAGCATATGGTATGCCTAACATGGGAACAGCATGGTTGACTAGATAAGCTTTTGTCTTCTGATGTTTTTGCCAATCCTAACTAGATCTGGTGCATCAAAAAATTCTTATCCAATATCTACTACCATCTATATACTATATACAATTGTTTATTTACAATACATTTCTCAATTAAAATATTCAAGGCAACCATCAAACACACCTCTTTGGATTGCTGTTGAAGAAGTCTGGAAGAAAGTGGCCAAGAAAGGTTATTTAGTATCTGACAGGAAAAAACAACTGCCCATGTTAAATTGATTTAGGCAGACCTTTCAAATGATACTTCAAGTATATTTTTCAAATCTCCTTGAAAGAGACAAGAAAACATTATCAATTTTTCCACCTACCTTAGCAGCACCAATTTGCTCTTTTCGAAATTTCTCCAGAGGTGTGATTAGGACTTCACTAGCATTTTCAATCTGCCAAGGAAAAGGAAAAGAAATGCTTACTCTCTACTAAGTCTAAGCATTCACATTCCCATGATCATTTATTGTTTTAACCTCCCTAAACATGACAATTTTTTTTCTTCCTAGAAGATCTGTATGATTCAGAATTTTACACACCATATAATTAGGGATCCCCTGATTTCAATTTTACAATTGAAGGCTGAACAATTTAAGAACTGTGGTTCTTAAAACACAGCTTCTCTAGAAAATAAAAAAGAAAGAGCGTTGAAAGAGTTTCAGAAAACAGATGGTTGCTACTATTAAGTACTGTACATTGCTGGTATATAATCTTTTCCTTTTCTGGGATTGTAAACTAAACAGGTTAGGCCTGGACAGTATTTTGATGGGAGAGTTCTATGGAATACTATGAATAAGGAGTAGGATGGAATTGAAAAAGCATTCCAAAAGGCGGCAATGAAAAATTTGATAACCATTTGTTGTCAAAGCATGTCCATGAGGTCAACAGGAATTGAGCTCAACTTGAAGTAAATGTTGATTTTTTTTTAATCTATAAACATATAATCTATGGATTTTTTCCCCTAATCTCTTCCTTTAGGTGGATCACTATAACACTGTGGAACATCCACAAGGCCAATCCGGATGGATTTCCATAGGGATTAAAAACTTGGGGGGGGGGGGTCCCTAGGCACTGGGCCGGGAAGTTAAATAAGTTCCTTTTTAGGATTCACTGATGTAGATACCTGTGCTGCTTAAGATGTTACTGTATGTGTTTTGTTTTTGTTGACATTTGTATTGCTGAATGTCACTCAAGGACAAATGGCCAACTATATAAACCAAAGAAATAAATAGGTTCATAATATGGAACCCACAGAACCCATATGGCCGTTTCAGCTGACATCCATAAAACTCCAAAATTAAGCAGATTTTAAAAATAATCATGATCTCTTTAGATTCTGAGAAGTTTAGATCTCCTAAGCTTCTGAGATTTCAGTGTTTCAATATAACATTGCAATTCTAACTTCCATGCTTCAGACTGTCTGCTCCATCTTTGTAAGTTTCCAATAGAATGTGAATCACAGGCTGGAAATGTATGTAGTGAAAGCAACCACAAACAAGGTAAAACCATGCCTAAACACACTTCTAATTCTAAAGTTGTGTAAACACTGTTTAGCTTTTCTAATTTTCACCATTAAACCTTTTGCTATTATGTAGATTCCCTTATTCAGAATATTCTATAGTTAGAAGAGCGCTGGTAGCGCAGTGGTTAGAATGCAGTATTGCAGTATAGGCTAACTCTGCCCACTGCCAGGAGTACGATCCTGACCGGTTTAAGATTGACTCAGCCTTCTATCCTTCCGAGGTCAGTAAAATGAGGAGCCAGACTGTTGGGGATGATATGCTGACACTGTAAACAGCTTAGAGAGGGCCATAAAGCGCTATGAAGCAATATATAAGTCTAAGTACTATTGCTATTGTTATTGCTACAAAGTCCCAATGAGTCATAGAAAGCAAGAAGTGTCTGATTGAAAAGCTTTTTGTTTTATCTATAACTTTTGAGTCCAAGATAACTTAAAGATAACAGAAGACTGATGTTGATGTTTGAATAGCCAAGAGTAATGCTAGGCAGAGAAATTCTCCTAGATTTTTTTAATATAATTCAGTGAGCTGTAGAAATTCATTCACAGAGAACAGAATCACAGAAACATTTTCAAAAGTAAAATAGGAGGCTCTTGTAGTCAGTCACAAGGGCTGTGTGTGAATTTTCTGTCTGTCATTATAGAATCATCTCTGTAGGGATTTTGTAGCATCCCTGGCTTCCCATGTTTCTATTAAATCCCAAAGGAAGACATCATGAGGGAATTCCTCCAATTGTTTTTTGTTCATACTTGTACTACCGTCAGCTTCGTCCTGTTCTCATAGAGAAATCACCATGCTCGGCAGGCAGGCAGACTTGCTAAACTTTCCTCCTGGTTAAAAAAACAGCCAGCCAGAGTGTGAAGCAGAGGCAAGATCTATGAATAGCCCAAGAGATAAGAGAAGAAGCAAAAGAATTTTGAATGAAGAGTAAGGTCAAGATACAAACTAGCTCAAGCATTTCTAGGGCATGTAGGATGAAGATTCTGATTCCAGTCTGGAGTCTTGTCTAGTTTTATATCCCAGGCTTCAAGCCTCCCCTGAACTATATGAGTCACATCAGCTCAATTCAAAGGGCCAATCTACACGAGCACAACAAAACCTCTTCACACACCATTCCAAAGAAGCTTTTCTCTAGTTCCATGATTAGCCCTTTAGCTCTTCACCTGAGTCACCATTATTTTTGCAGACTTCACCCCAGAGGTAGAGATCCAAGATAAGTGGTGCCTGACCCAGCAGTACTTGCAAGAGGGATCTGGATATCTTGGTAGACCACAGATTAAGCATGATCCAGCAGTGTGCTGCGGCTTCCTAAAAAAAATCCAATACTACACTAGGCTTCATCAAAATCATGAGAAGTGATAGTACCATTCTGTGCGGTCAGACTGCACCTGAACTACTGTGTCTGGGCTTGGTCACTGATAAAAAAGGGCACTGAGGAACTGGAAACAGTATGGAGAAGGACAAAGATGATAAGGAGGTTGTATGCTTGGTCCTACAAAGAGCAACTAAGGGAACTTGGTATATTTAGCCTAAAGAAGAGAAGGCTAGGGGGAGACATGATAGCAGTCTTTCAATATATGAAGGGATGTCATAGGAAAGAGGAATAGATTTGTTCTCCTTACTGCTTGGGGGTAAGGCTACAATCAGTGAATGGAAGCTTTACGGAGGGAGAGGCAAACTTGGAATTAGAAGGAATTTCCTAAGAGCTACTGAGCAGTGGAACAGCCTGCCTCCATCACTGGAGGTTTTCAAGAAAAGATTAGATGGCCATTTGTCTAGGCTGGTATGAGGATTCCTGCACTAGGCTAAGGATTTGACTAGAAGACCTCCAAGGCCCCTTTCAATTCTATGATTCTATGACTTAAATCTATAGTCCCTTCTACATGTGATGCCATCAGGGACACTTTAATCCAGCTGGGAGCAAAAATGTCTAAGGAAGCTGGACTGCATAATACAGTCTTTGTTCTCCGAGTGCAAGACCAAATAGATTCAGTGGCAGGCAGTTTGCTATCTTATTAAGCTGCCAAGACTTACTGCCTACGGATGAATATTGCTATTCTTTTTAGGCAGAGAAGTTGACAATTTGTTGAGCTAGATAATGGCCATTGGCCAAAACAGACAAGAGCATTGCAAAAATTACCCACAATTTCTTCTCATAGCCAACATCTATCAAAGCTTGTAACAAGATGAGAAAGTTGTTCTACATCTTACTGAATAAATTAAAGCAATGGCTTTTTCTAATCATAGCACGTATACAGACCATGATACTGACTATTCCAAAGGCTAATTAATAGAAGATTAACAGGACAGAAATCGATAGTACTGCTTGCAACCCTTTCTTTTTTAAAAAAAAACTCCTTCCACTGCGAGCAAATCTAAATGTTAATGGTGTTGATAATATGGTCTCCCATCCCACTGACTCAATATTACACTCCTCTTGAGGTTTTTTCCCATTGGTAAAGTTGCTGGTAAAGAAAACTGTTTCAGACACCGAAAGGAGGATCTTTTATTATCAATTTACTCCCTTCAAAATCAGGGGGAGAGAAGAGCTAATCTATCCTATAAGCCCCTGGGAAGCTGCTCCCCGGAACCCAGGATGGCGCTCATGTACATTAACAAGAGAAAACAAATACTTGTATGACTTCAGTAATCTCCCCCCAAAAATTCCCACCATACTCTACCTTGATGCTTTACCAAACTTTACTACCACACTTTTCTGTTCTGCTTCTGCCCGAGGTATTATATCTAAAACGAAGCAAGGCCTTACCATTCGTATGCGCTCGTCTTCTAGGTTCCTTAGAACAGTAGCAAATTCTTGCAGGGATTTTGCTATGAGGAATAAAAGGAAGACAATCAAGATCACTAAATACATTTAGTCTTCACTTGCAACAGTCCATCTAGCAACTGCTCAAGGTTACAACGGCACTGAAAAAAAAGATTCATGACTAGCCTTCACACCACCGCTGCATAGTCACGTGTTCAAAATTCAAGTCCTTGGCAACCAGGATGTATTTATACCAGCTACTGTATCCTGGGATCATGTAATCACCATTTGTGACCTTCCCAGCCAGTTTCCGACAAACGAAGTCAATGGGGCAAGCCAGATTCATTTAACAATAATATAATTCATTTATATTCATTTAACAACTGTGGCAAAAAAAAGTCATAATATTGGGGCAACACATTTAACAACTGCCTTGCTTTAATAATTCTGGTCCCACTTGTGTTTGTATATTCATTTAACAACTGTGTTTGTATATTCATTTAACAACTGTGTTTGTATATTCATTTAACAACTGTGGCAAAAAAAAGTCATAATATTGGGGCAACACATTTAACAACTGCCTTGCTTTAATAATTCTGGTCCCACTTGTGTTTGTAAGATAAGGACTATCTATAGTATGAAAGAAAAAGATGATGATGATGATGATAATAATAATAATAATAATAATACTAATAATACTAATACTACTACTATTAATAATAATAATAATAATACAGTTGGAAGGGACCTTGTAGGTCATCTAGTCCAACCCAAGTTAACTTTCTTGACCCCAAACGGCTATGTATTTGACCTAGGAAAACAAAATAAACTAGCATAAGCCCAAGACATGGATTGTTTGGCCAACCTAGTTCTACCTTGACCTTTATTACTTTCCAGAAACAAGGCAAGTGTGTCCTATTGAAGAACCAATGTTTAAGTACCACTTTCATATTAGTTTTCATTCTCTGTTATTTGTTTCCATGCTATTTGAAGACATTGTGCTTTTTAAGTACTGTGACACCATATTCTAGTCTTTCCCAAAGCTTTGCTCTTTCTGTTACCTGTCCATCTTTCAAAGAGGCATTCTTTCTAATGGGAGTATATATTTGACTTCCAAATGTGAAGACTCTAATTTTGCAGTTATCTTTTAAGCACATTTATACCTTCTGATAGGTAGCTATCTAAATAAACCAACATGCACAAATATATTGATGCACACTTACATGCACGAATGCATTATACATACACATATACTCACATACCCTATACAATTATATACCTATGCTACCGTGTTTTCCCGAAAATAAGACCTATCCTGAAAATAAGCCCTAGCTTGATTTTTATGTTTGTGCCTAATATAAGTCCTACTCCAAAAATAAGCCCTAATTAAGACCCCACCCTCTGGTTGCACAAGGTGGGACAAGGCACACGTATAAAAATCAAGCTTGGGTGGGGGAAGGGGGTAGAGCTGCCCCACACGCTCCACATCCGCTTACCTCAGGACCACTGTAGCCAGGCCTCCCACACCCCGACACCTTTCACACTGCTGCCCCACTTCTTCTGCAGCCACTTGCGGCCACTCGCAGCAGGATGCCACATGGCACGTTCCGCTGGTGTCACCGCTCATGGCAGAACTACTGCTCACCAAACAGCAGTACCGGCACATTGTGCCACATGGCATCCTGCCACAAAACCGCTGTGGTGTCCTGCTGTGAGCGGCTGCTAGCAGCCGCAGAAAAAGTCAGGCGGTGGTGCAACAGGTGTCAGGACGCGGGAGGCCTGGCTGCAGTGGTCCTGAAGTAAGTGGGTAGGACATCCCCTGAAAATAAGACCTAGTGCCTCTTTTGGGGAAACATGGTATGTTTATGAGCCGTGGTGCCGCGGTGGTTAGAATGCAGTACTACAGGCTACTTCTGCTGATTACTGGCTGCCTGCAGTTTGGCAGTTCAATTCTCACTGGCTAAAGGTTGACTCAGCCTTCCATCCTTCCGAGGTTGGTAAAATAAGAACCCAGATTGTTGGGGGCCATATGCTGACTGTGTAAACCACTTAGAGAGGGCTGTGAAGCACTGTGAAACGGTATATAAGTCTAAGTGCTATTGCTATTGCTATTTATATGATTTTGAACACATGGTAGGACAAAATGAATGGATGATTAGATAAAAATACAAAACATATCTTTGTCAACTGATTGATAGGTGATTGGAAATAGGTCTGTCACTTATTTATGTTTACACAAGCATTAGAGGTACACATCCCTACAATAGGCACTGCATAAATGGTAGTTCATAGAAACAAGGTTTAATTTTATACAATGTTATCAACGTTGTCATTTAATTTTAAGTGTATGCTTTATATGCATGTATGTTTGCGTATTTGCATCCACGTAGCTGAGAAGACAACAGAACCATTGGACAATCTGTCAAATCAATAACAGAACATAAAACATTGCACAGCCTTCAAAATTAGTGACCAATTGGCACCCATTTCAGAGCATACACTTGATGAGTTTTGAAGTATGATCAGTCCATCTGGCCCTGCCTACTTAAAAACTAACCCTCTTTAACGAGTGCAGGATTAAGGTAAGGTAATCCTTTTGTTTTCATTATTTCTCAGACAAATAAAACGCTGGGGGGGGGGGTTGAATGTGTTAAGAAACAATGCAAATGAATAACATAACAATCTTGTCCCCAAGCACTAATCTTCCCTCATGTAGTAAGGCAAACATAAGCCTTTTCTTTTTTTTCCTATTTTCTGTTTGGTTTGATGAGCAACAGGGAAGATTATCCGGAAAAGATAGTTTGGACTTTCAGATGAGACATTATCTTCAACATGTATTCACAAATAGGTCTAAGTAGATAAATAAGCAAAAAAACCCGCATCTGGTCCTAAATAACATCTCTGGGGGCAAATAAATAACATTCATATTTTGAGTTTTGTTTGGTCATTTGTTTTCTGAGGAAGATAAAACAATAACAACAACAACAACAACAACAACAACAACAACAACAACAATAATAATAATAATAATAATAATAATAATATAAATGTAAAAACTTGGAAGGTACATTGGAGGTCATCTAGTCCAACCCCCTGCTCAGGCAGGAAACCCTATACTATTTCAGGCAAATGGCTGTCCAGTCTCTTCTTAAAAGCCTTCAGTGTTGGAGCATTCACAGCTTCTGGAGGCAGGTTGTTCCACTGGTTAATTGTTCTAACTGTCAGGAAATTCCTCCTTAGTTCTAGGTTGCTTCTCTCTTTGGTTAGTTTCCATCCGTTGTTTCTTGTCCTGTCCTCAGGTGCTTTGGAGAATAGCTAGACTCCCTCTTCTTTCTGGCAGCCCCTGAGATATTGGAACACTGCTATCATGTCACCCCTAGTCCTGAAGTTCTTGGACCTGTTTGTGCCATTACTTGTATATTAGATCGCTCCACAGCAGTTTATAAAAACCTCGAAAGACTTTATTACTTAGTTTATTAACATACTCTTCTTCAGATAGAGTTTCCAACCCCCTTAAAGAAAGCAGTTCAACTTTTGCATAGACCAAGGGTCCTCAACCTTGGCAACTTTAAGACTTATGGACTTCAACTCCCAGAATTCCTCAGCCAGCTTGCCAAAGCTGGCTGAGGAATTCTGGGAGTTGAAGTCCACAAGTCTTAAAGTTGCCAAGGTTGAGGACCCCTGGCATAGAGAACTATTTTTGGCCTGACCAAGTTTAACAATGAATGTTCAGTTTTCATATTTAGCCAAGCTACAGGAACTCTTACAAATGATTTTGATTTTTTTTTCTAGATTTGGATCTGGATCGGATATAGAGAGCCTTGGCCACTCTGATGGATGAACTGTATCTAGAGAACATGAGGCGCTGCAATCCTATTTATATTATAAGATCTCTCAGTAACTTCTGATACTGGTGACCATTTGTTTGGTACACTTGAGAGAATTGAGGGGCAGAGGTGCTACTTGCAATGATTCCTATAGCTCCAGGAGTTACCAAAAACAGATATTGGGGAAAACCTCATGTGGTATCCTGCAAGGATTTATTTTTCATGATATTTAACATTAACATGAAGCCACTGAGAAGAATAAATAGGTTTGGCCTTAGTAATCAACCATTTCTTTGATACATAACCATACATTGCTATTCTTGAAGCTTCTGAATGTCTACAAGTTGTAAGAGATTGAAAGTGACAGGCAAACTGAAACTGAACATGAATTGTTATTATTTCTAGGACTGAATTTCAGGATTAAGGAGAAATAGAGATTCTGGACAAAACTGCATTCCTCTTTAAGAACAAGGTTTGCAGGTTGGAGATGTTCCTGGATTCAGCATTGATGCAGCACAACACAAAACATTAGAGGCAAAGGAGAGCCTTTGATCAGCTCCAAAGGGTACACAAATTGCATTCCTACCTGAGTTCAGAGACATGGTTTCAGTAACTCATGGTAATGTACAACTATGTCATTGTAATGCAACCTTCATGAGGTGGCCCTTGAAGTTGGTTTATACCGTGCAGCTGTTCCATAATACAGAGTAGCACCAGGCCCCATTTTGAAATTTTTGAACACCTTGCCTGGTTTAACAACTGTTCAGTTATGATGGCATGAAAACAGTGACTTACATCTAGTCCTAGGGTCACATGATCAAAATTGGGGCGCTTGGAAATATGTATTTACAATATTTGTGGTGTCCTGGGGTCATGTGATCTCCATTTGTGACCTTTCCAGGGGGCTTCAGTCAAGCAAAGTCAAAGAGGGAAGCTGGATTTGCTTAACAACCAGGATCAAAAAAAAAAAAAAAAGATTGTAAAATCAGTGTGAACCACCTAACGATCACATCATTTAGTGACAGAAGTTGAAATCCCAATTATGGTCATAAGTCAAGGATTACCTGTAATAATTCGTAAGCTCATCCTTCCTGACTACTGTAGGTATGTATGTTCCACTTCATTCTTATCTGTATTCCTCCTATTTAAGTCACTGGATTGCCTCATTTGTAAATCAAAGCCTATGGACTTACCTATACATATTTCATCATCTGTTTCTGCATCGCCTATGCACTGAAATTTGAAATCATTCAAGGAGTCTGCAAACTTCCGTTTTGCTGAAGACAAATCTATAAAAAAAGAACAAAAGGGTTTTGGTGACAAGTAATAAACCACAGACTTAGCGAGCACAATTCTAGCAACTTGTAGCAATGTCCTTCATTCTGTCATCTAGGCTACAGGGTAATCTTAGATGTTAAATAAATAAATAAATAAATAAAGGTTCTGCTGAAAGAAAACTACTGATCCATAAGTATCTTTCAAAAGTATTTTTTAATAAATCCAAGAAATGAACATTATGTCACAGGAAGCAAAACTGAAAGGCTTGCTTCATTACGGGCAAATCTTCAATGTTCCATCAACTTTAAATCATAACTGGCAGCAGTTCCTACTATAAAGGCTATCCTTACAAGACATTATTTAAAGATGACATACTTGGTTAATTTTAAAAATGCACACAACTTCCAGTCCCTGGTTTTAGTTAATTCTCCGAGGAAGGACAGGAAACAGAGCAGAATGAGGAAGGCCCCATGATGCAAGCAATGTTTTAATAAACTATGCCCTTTATTTATTCCCATGTATTTTTCTGTTTGAATAGTTCTAACATAACCATGCCCGTATAGTTTGTTATTACTGCATTTCATTTTGTAATGTTTCATTGTTCTTTTCCACAACGAAAGCCAAAGAGCTGAAACATTCTACGTGTCTTTGCCAGATAATGGCAAGAATGCTCTTTTGCTATCAGGGTTGAAATGTCACATAGTTTTCAGAAGGGGTTTCTAAAAAGGAGGCTGGGATGGCAGCACAAGACATGCATCTGGGACCTATAGAAAAACAGCACTCACTCCAGCCTGCTTTCTCCCGATAACAATATTTGCTGTCATTCTATCTTGGCAAAGTTTTGAAATTTAGTCTCATTACATCAAGGAAAATTAATCTTGACAGAACAGTTTGTTAAGGCTGCATCCCAACTGGGAGGAGGAAGGGAACATATAAACACACGTACATCTATCCACATAAGGGGGAATGGAGAATGAGAGCGCACAGGAACCCATGTATGAAATTAAAAGTGGAGTAATGAAGAATTCTCTGCAAAACTTTGGGACTCATGGATAGCCAATTAGAAAACACTTATGGAAGAACTGATTTTGTATATAGTAACTGCAGTGAGACTATTATATACACAGCGATGGAAAAATAATGAAATGAGTATTTGAGTAGATCATGAAAATGGCAGAACATGTAGAAATGGTGCAATGAACCTGTTTCATCGGGTATAAGACAACAAGTGGGAGCTGGTTTGGTGTAGTGTTAAGGCATTGGGAGGCTATGAGTTCTAGTCCCACTTTAGGCATGAAGTTACAAGATTACTTTCTCTCAGCCCTAGAAGAAAGTAATGGCAAACCACCTCTGAAAAATCTTGCCAAGCAAACTGCAGGGACTCACATAGCCAGTCTCCAAGAATTGGACACAACTGAATGAATTTTTTTTAAAAAATGGAAACCTCTTCTAGACTTTTTGCTGAAAATGGAAAAAAATGAATCGATGATTTATGGATTTGCTGATTCAAGGGATAGAATATGTGAAAAAGAGAAACATGTTGTGACTTTAAAGAAGGAGGAGAGATAATGAATTTGTTGTAACTGCTGTAAAGAAAATTTGAAACCACTTCTTTTCCTTTTTCTTTTCTTCTTTTCTTTTCCTACCTGCAACTCTTTTCTACTTCTTTTATTTTTATTTTTATTTTTTTTTATTTCACTTTATGTTATTTCTTAAAGGGAGGAGTCCTTTGTTCGGCAAGGTATAGGGAATCAAGTAATACTGAACACAGCAAAAGCTAAAATTGTATGTGTACTTACGGTAAGTAAGGGGCCATGTTATGATGGGGGAATGAACAGATAAAAATGTATTAAATTGGTCCTTTGGTCAGCTGGCATTCTCAGGGTACTCTGATTGCTGTCTAAACTGTGAAATTGGCACTCTCAATCATAGTTCTTTTGAAGATGACAGAACAGTTGAATGTGAATAGTTATAATGGGCTATGAAAATAACCTTGGGAGAAAGGAGGAAGAGCCGCAGCCTAGACAACAATCTGATAAGAGAAATTTGAGTCTAAAGGAGAGCTGTGGGTAGAGAAAGCATTTCAGAAGGGACCCTTCCTAGTTCCCTGTAAAGGCAGGGGAGAGGAGAAGGTTTTTTTGGACTTGAAAGATCACTGTAACCTTATAATAATAATAGTATTAGGAGTCAAGGTTTTGATTTTCTGTCTGGACTATCTCAAAAGGCTGACAATTAGAAAAATGATGAGCGTGCTAGGGAAAATTAATTCATCTTGCTGACAAATTACTTATTGTACAGTGTTCGGTAACCTCTTGTTTCAAACGATAAGGCAACGTGGATATGGAGCTATTATTGTGACTTCTGGTTTTCTATTGACATCTGCCAAAAAGAGCAAAGCAACCCTGGAAACTGAATCTGTAACACAAGGAGGAAGTCAACCGAAATTGCGCAAAAAACAAATCAATATTAACTTCAGTCAGTCAGAGTAGGACACTGGGTCTTCTGTTCCCACCAGATGTTATCTGATGCACTTCATTTGAATGGAACAACATAATCAACTTGCTACATCAAATCAGATTCCCAAATCTTTCCAAAAGCTTTAAAAAGACCACTTCTACATTTGTTCATGTCAGGAAAAAAAAAAAAGAAAATAAACAAGCAAAAATCTAAACCCGTTCTGAAATGGAAGATTCAGACTACAACCCCTATCGCTCAGAAACTATTCCTGCTTTCTTCTTTCCTGAAAATAATAAGGAAGTGTTGATTTCGTAAGGGCTGGTTTCCTTTAACCAGAACTGAATGCTAAACTTTTGTCTCTTGAGGTTTTTTTGCAGAGCGTGATGTCCCTTTTCCTCTTCACTGCATGCACACCCTGTGGGCTTAGCAAAAGTTTGCATTATGCAATGTGGGCATTTTGTCAAAAAGAGTTTACTACAGCATCATTCAGCCCTGGGATCTAATTGTCACATTCCACCATAAAAGAGGAGTGGAAAGAGACTTCACGTGAAGGATGCCAAACTCACTATGTGATGCTTATGAAGACTTTGCAGACTTTGCAGACTGTATTGCTTAATAAGCTCTATTACACGGCACTTGAATCATAAGTCAGGGCTCTTCAAACTTGGCCCTTTTATGACTTGTAGACTTCAACATCCAGAATTCCTCAGCCAGTGTGTCTAGCTGAGGAATTCTGGGAGTTGAAGTCCACAAGTCATAAAAGGGCCAAGTTTGAAGACCCCTGCTCTAAGTGCTGATTAGTTCTGGGACTAGGGTGGGGAGTGAGGGTGGGACATGCTGCTGTGATGCTGGATGATGGCTTGGAAGCCACCACCTGTATTCCTATGCACACACAATTTATAT